CAACAAACATATCGATTCGTGGCGTTCAATCGCAGGAGTGGTGCTCTGGTATGGTTCAAAATGGTCAAACGGTTTCCTTCCAACAGGACATTCCCCTGAGTGGGAATAAATTCTTGTAGGGGCCTAGATGCTCTGCCAGGTGTGCCCAGCAAGGTCTCTAGGGAGTGGTCTCCTGGAGGGTCTGGCTGGACAGACTCAGTCTGCACGCCGATCTGACATGCGCGCGGGCTCCCATCGGCGTCCGCAGCAGTCATGTAACACCGGAAGCTACACCACCGTGAGGAATGTGTAGGAGCGTTTAAGTGCTGCTGCCCGAACATTTGCGCGGGCAGACGCGGCCCAAACCCCAACGTGCGGTGAGCTTGAGCTTGAGCATAGCAGTGTGCATGCTGGAGTTGCCTGCTAGCCCGTACTTCAAAGGCTTACGCCGCCGCACATGGAAAAGGGAGCTTGGAGGGAAGGTTGATTGCAACATCGTTGATGAGTCTTTGGTTTGCACTGGTCCTCCTCCTCCTTCTCCTCCTCCTCCTCATCTTCCTTCTCTTCCCCACTTTCCTTTCCCTTCTCCTCCTCCTCCTCCTCGTCCTCGTCCTCGTTTTCGTCCTTGTCCTTGTCTTGGTGCTGGTCTTGGTCCTCCTCCTCCTCGCCGTTCTCGTTGTCGTCGTCGTCTTCCTCCTCCTCCTCCTCCTCCTCCTCCTCCTCCTCCACCCACGGGCGCCTGTGGGGGTCAGTGATGCAGCGGCACTCGCCGCTCTTGGCCTCTTCGGCCGAGCATCCCTTAAGTGCTGCTCCAGCCGCGGAGGTCGTCTTCGTCGACGTCGAAGTGGTCGTCGTCGTGGTTGCGGCTGGGCCTGGCATTGGGCCTGGCTCCTTCGAGGAGGGGGAGGGGGAGGGGGGGGACGAGGACGAGAAGGAATGAGGATGAGGCGGACGAAGGGGAGGAGGGAGGAAGGAGCGGAGGAGGATCGAGGATTTTGGAGATCGGGCCTCTGGATGTCTCTGAAGACCTCTGGATCCCCAAGGCCGCCAGAGACCCCTGGGAGAGAAACGACAAGGGCATGCTGTTGAATCCTGAGGACAAAGGCAGGGGACTCGGGGAGGCGCAGGAGGTGGTGGGGGAGGGGTGCGGGGTTCCAGGGGGGGGGCGCGGGAGGTCAAGGAGGATGGGGAGATGCTGGAGGAGGACGATAGGGGAGGAAGAGGAGGAGGGAGAGGAGGGTGCTGAGGGTGCTGACTGCATCGGGGGGCTCCCGCCGCTCGCCACGGCGGGCGCTGGCGCGGCGGAGGCCGCCGAACTCGCGGGCGCGCCTGCGCCGGCCGCGCGCCGCGCGGGCCCCAGGGGCAAGTCCCCCGAAGTCCCCCTGAGCGGCAGCCCCAAAGGGCCAAGACGCGCCCCGCCCACACAGGAGCTGTCCGAGTCCCGCAGGGGCTCGGCCAAACCGCGCGCTGGCTCGAATACCCGCCCCCGAAGCCAAGACCGCAAGGCCACCAAAGGCCCCGGCACAAGAAAGGGCCCAGCGGGCCCCCCAGCCCGAGGGAGACGTCGGGGTCCCTTGCCCCCGAGGCCCCTCAGACCTGCGAGTATTTGTGCTTCACCCAGGCCTTGAACTCGTCGAGCTCGGCGCAGTCGATTCCCTCCAGGAGGCCCCCCCCAGCGCGTCCAGCACCGCCCTGCGCTTGGCGGAGTCCGCCTCGGAACCGTTGACTGCCAGCGGGTCGGCCTCCGGGTCCTTCTAGTCCTCACTCTTCTTCTTCTTCTTCTTGCCAGCTGACTCGAAGACCCCGATGTAACCGATGTAGAATTCCGATGGGCCAGCCGCAAGATCACCTGCAACTTTGGCGTTGGGCTCCAGCAACATGCACTCGCCCTCGCCGTTGCTGCCGTCGTAGCCGTCGCCGTTCCCGTTCACGCCGAGTCCGACCCTCTGGAACACTCCGCCGCGAGGTCGGCCTCCAGCATCGGGTGAGGCCATCTTCTCCGTGGGATTCGGCCCACGGTCCTTCTGCCCTCCACCACCGTTCACCGAGGGGTGACCTCCGCCACGGTGACGCCCTTCTTGATTTACTCGTCCCAGCGCCTGAGGTTCGGGAGCGGCGTCCGCGTGCCCCAAGCCTCTGCATCGTCCAGAACATCCTCCAGCGGTCCCGTCTGTGCCGAAGCCGCCTCCTGCACCTCCGTCCAGCCCCGAGCGACACAGGAGGAGCGGAAAGGAGGAGGGAGAAGGGAGGGGGGAGCCGAGAGGCCAACACGGCTCGGAAACACGTCGACTTCAGCCGCCACCCCCGCTCGTAGACTTGTCGAACTTGTGCCTCAATTTCTCCCCAGCCATGAGAACCCAGCGGACGGCCAGCAACTCTGTCAAGTCGAGATCGCGACCGCTGATCAACGCCACAAGCGCCTTTTCTGTCCAGCGGCTGGCCAGGGGCATGACTGAGAGATCTGCCGCGCAATGCCAGCTGCCAGACACCAGCAGCAGCAGCAGCAGCAGCAGCAGAACATGCCACTGCGACACAATCGAAATTACACTCAAAAGGCACCCTGGCCATAAAGACCCAGCGAATCGCCAGCATATCTGGGCTCTCGAAGTCGCCGAAGGCGCTGCAGTGGATCTCACACCCTTCACGGCGAACGGCTCAATTGCTGACAAGAAGCATGGCAAAGAGGTCCAGAACAACATGCACTCCAACCGCTGCAGCAGGAAGCGCACCAGAGCCACTGGGAGTCGCACTGGAAGTCCGAGAGGGATAGGGGCGGACCGACGGGGCCGACGAGTCCGCAGCGGCATGATTAACATCAGAGCGACCACCGCTACGACCACTGCGTCAAACACCATCTACTTCCCGAGTGGCAATACAAAGCCGCTGCTCAAGCACGTCCCAATGGACATGGAGAGCCCCCGAACCTTGAATAGAGCTTCCTCCCAGACCCGGGTACCCCAAAGCTCAGGAACCATGCCACCGACACGAGGCACCTGTGCAAGAGCTCCAGCAGTTGCATCAGGGGGGGGGCAAGGAGGACATGATGGGCATCTGCATGTCCAACCCCGCCTTCAAAACCGTGCCACCCGCCCAGACCTCCTCCTCAAACGCAGTGGCCCTCGCAGGCAGCCGCAGGCACAAAGGGCACGGCCTCGGCCCTCACATGCGAAGCCGAAGGAGAGGAAGACGACGGCCGTTGCGGTCCCGCACCTGCTGCACCAGCACGTGCACGACGCAGACGCGCGCGCCGCTGGGCATGACGCAGCTGCGCTTTGGACGCCGTCAGTATAGAGAGTCCCAAGGCGACGGAGTGCATGGCCACGTTCCTCCGCAAAACGTTATCGTTGCTGATGGCATGGCCGTCTAGATCGGCGCGAAGCACCGGTACAGCCGCCAGCAGCCGCTCGATAACGTCAGGCCCAGCGTCCAACAGGACCTCCACGGCGGAGAGGAGACTAATGTGCGACTGCTGGGCCTCCTCTTTTGACGCTGGCCAAACATGAGCTCGATGCTGTTGCGTCCTCAGCTGCTCGAACTCTTATATGGACATGCTCAACAACGTTCCAGCAGGACGAGTGCGAGAGGAAAACAACGTGAAGGGCGGCGGTAGTTCTGATAAGAACGCGTGACAGGCGAGAGAAGCTGGATACGTAGAGCAACGATCCAGCGTAAGCACAATGTCAAGGACCTGACCCACCCTCCCCGCAACAAAACCACTATCCACCCACCCATTATACGATGTGCTGGGCCTCCTCGAACTCCTTCTGCAACTGGATGGCTCGGTCAACCGACAACCGCGCCTAATCACGTCTGTCTTCCCGCTCGGCATCGGAAGGCCAAGGGCGCCCCCCATCGGCGCCCATCCCGCAACCACCACTTCTCTCCCAGCGAGGTCAAGCAGACAGCAACCAGTCCAGTTGAGCCGATATGGGCGGAGGACAGCCATAGCTTAAAATGGCTAGCGAGGGCATGGGAGGACGAGGAGAAGGGAGAGGAGGACGGAGACGAGGGAGGAGGAGAATTGAGGATGAGCAGGAGGGAGGAGGATAGATGGCTGGCTGGCTGGCTGGATGGATGGATGGATGATGAGGAAAAGGGGGAGGAAGAGAAGGAAAAGGAGGAGCAGGAGGAGGAGGAGGATGATGATGATGATGATGATGATGATGATGATGAGGAGGAGGAGGAGGAGGAGGAGGAGAAGGAGGGTGGGGGAGGATGCTGCTGGGGCTGCTGCTGCTGAAGAGGAGGAGGAGGAGGAGGAGGAGGAGGAGGAGGAGGAGGAGGAGGAGGGGGAAGTAGTAGGAGGAGGAGGAAGATAAGGACAAGAGGAGGAGGAGGAAGACGGAAGACGATGTGGAGGAGGATGGGGAGGAGGATAACCATGAGAAGGATGCGGAGGATGGAGGATTGAGACGGAATGAGGAGGATGGAGGAGGGAAGAGGAAGAGGCGGAGGAAGAGGACGAGGAGGAAGAGGAGGAGGAGGATAATGAGGAGGAGGAGGAGAAGGAGGAGGAGGAGGAGAAAGGGGAGAAGGAGGATGCGGAGGATGGAGGATGGAGACGGGATGAGGATGATGGAGGAGAGGGGGGAAGAGGCGGAGGAGACGGGGGCGGTGGCGGAGGCGGAGGAAGAGGAGGAGGAGGGAGGAGGAGGAGGATGTAGGTTGTAGGATGTAGGATGGAGCATGGAGGCTGATAGTGATGATGATGATGATGAGGAGGAAGAGGAGGAGGAGCAGGAGCAGGAGCAGGAGGAGGAGAAGGAGGAGGAGGATGGAGGATGTAGGATGTAGGATGTAGGATGGAGCATGGATGATAATGATGATGATGATGAGGAGGAGGAGGAGGAAAAGGAGGAGGAGGATGGAAGATGGAGAATTGAGGATGGAGGATGGAGCGTGGAGGAGGAGGATGATAATGAGGAGGAGGAGGAGGATGGAGGATGGAGAATCGAGGATGGAGGATAATGATGGAGTAGGATGAGGAGGAAGAGGAGGAGTAGGAGGGAGGATTGATATTGGAGAGGGGGTGAGGAAGATGAGGACGATACATAATAATCACATACGAATAATACGAATGATCATTAAACATCATACTGTTACTAATAATACTAAGAATAAACATAATAATACGAACAATGCTCAATCTACTAACAGGGCTAATACTGGCATCAACAATAATAATGCTAATACTATAAATAATACCAATAGCAATAACAACAATACTGATACGCATGATGATATTACTAATAATAGCATCAATACCACTCAAACTACTACGAATAATAGCACTACTCATATTGGTAACAATACCACCAACAATACTCATACTGATAATACTACGAATATAAAATAACAGTACTTATGATAAGAAGGAGGAGAAGAAGGGAGGGGAAGGGGGAGGAAGAAAAGGGAGGAGGAGAAGGGAGGACGGAGGGGAGGGGGAGGAAGAGAAGGGAGGGGAGGGAGGACGGGAGGAGAAGGGAGGACGGAGGAGATGAACGAGGAGGCCGGCCAGGCTCCGCGGACGGCGGCGCCCCGCTGATCGCTGGCGCGCCCTGCTGATCGCCGGCGCCGCCCGCGGGTGGCGGCGCGCTGCCTCCCGCAGCGCCCTGCTCCTCGGAGGGGAGCAGCAGCGCAGCGGCCGCGACCCGGTGCGCCTCTGACTGGGCCGGCTGGCGGAGTACGGCTCGGGGCTCGGAGGGGTTGGGGGCTCTTGAAGACCATCCTCGGTCCTTCCTCCTCCTCCTCCTCCTCCTCCTCCTCCTCCTCCTCCTCCTCCTCCTCCTCCTCCTCCTCCTCATCATCATCATCATCCTCCTCCTCCTCCTCTCCTCCTCCTCCCTCCTCCCTCCTCCTCCTCCTCCCTCCTGGCATGCTGCGGGGGCGTTGTTTCGCCCTCCTCCTCCTCCTCCTCTCAATGTGACTGTCTCTTCTCGCGCCACCAGGCGCCCGGCAGGGCGGGGCGGGCGTCTAGCCCGAGACTTACACTCAAGGTGCTCGAACTCAAGGTGTCCAACGGCTGCGCGAGAGGAGGACGGGCGTCTCGCCCGAAGCTTCCTCACGGTGCTCGAGCTCAAGGTGGTCGGTTGCTATTCAGCCCGCGCGCCGCTGGCGTCGAAATCAGCCGATGGAGCCGCTCGCGTAAAGAAAGGCGTAGCCGCAATGCGAATCTCAGCGGGTCGCGTCGAGAACCAGGCGGGCCAATGGCGACGACGTTCTTTCCAGGTCTCCCTTCTTGGTGGTGATTGCGCGAACCAGGGGCGCCAGCGCCCAGCCGTGGCTTGGCCGGCCGTCGCTGGGGTCGCGCAGTCCATCGCTGGCGATTTGAGGGACAGGCCGATCACCGAGCGGGCCTTGCGCCTGGCGGTCCTGTTCGTGGTCTAGCTGACGCCGCTTGCCGACTTCCCCGTGCCGGCGAAGTCTGCGGCCGGCCATTCCTCCTCGACGATCGGCTTGAGGGGGCTTCCTGGCTGCGGTCTTCTGTTAGTGGCGGCCGCGGAGCACGGGCCATATTCACTTGGTCTTGGGCGTCTGCTTCAACTCGCCTTGGGCGCGGTCGTGCGGCGCATTTGCCGTGGGCCTTGGCCCAAGTCACCGTGCGCCCGTTGATTGCCGGCGCCGTCGCTGTCGCCGCGACCGAGGTGGCTGGCGTTTCCTTTGCAGCAACTGCGTAGGTGAAGACGTCTTTCGCCGTGAGACCAAGCTCTGAGCGGTGCTTCGCCAGGTGGGCTGCGGTCAGCACCCTCGTGGAAGCGGGGGCGCGGCCGTGCGCCGCGGCGCCCGACCTCATGGCGCGCGCGGCGACGCCGGCGCGGATGAAGAGGCAATCGCCCAGACCTTGATTTTGCTGCTCGGGAAAGACTTCGGCGCGTGACGTGACGTCGACCGAGGGGTGCTCGAAACCAGGAACTGCAGCCACAGCTGCTTCGACTGCGGCCTCTCGCGCCGGCGCGGCGGCAACCGCAGGGGCCTCCGCGGAACCGCGGGGGCCTTGGGGAACAACGGCATCGGGTGAATCTGCTGGTGCGTCATTATCGTGACCACATGCGTCCTCCTCCTCCTCCTCCTCCGCCTCCTCCTCCTCTTCCTCCGGCTTCCACCCGTGCAAAGAGGGGGCGTGGGGCTTCGCTGCGCTGTTGCTGCGGCTTTGCTTGGCGACCACCTGATCCCCCAACGGCCGGCGCGGGCACCGCGGTCCCACGCGAGAACTGAGAAGCGGCCTTTTCGGAGCGCGCCGCGCGCCCAACATGTATTTCATGTCTGCGGCCGCGCAAGATGCTTTGAACGATTGAAAACTCTCTCGTTGCGCACCATCCATTGACATCGTCCTCGTTCCCCCCGTTGTCGGGAACTGGAGAAATAATCGATATTCGTGCGGTGATGTTAAGTCGGAATCCCCCTCCATACATTGCGCCGCCACTCCAGGAGGCTAATTGACAATCGGCCGATGTGCCATCTTTCCACCTTTTACTCTGTCGGCGGTGCCTTTGACACTTTTAGTCGCTCTCGTCTTCAAAATCTCTCTGTCGACTGAACCTGGGCGCCTGCTGAGAAACCTGTTCTGTGAGAAAGCACCCTGACCTCAGAGGTGGAGCCATCGACTTCCCTGTGATGATGCATGCGACATCCGTGGCGTCGTCTATCGCGCCCTTGATTGTGATGCTCTTCTTGCAGTCGCTATCTAGAAGTACTAAGCCAGGAAGGTGTCGAGGTTTTTGTCGAACGCGGCCACGAGTTCATGCCCGGCGAAATTCTGAACGACAACCAATACGGCAGCAAAGGACTCCACCTGGCTGGGCGTGGAAAGATCATTTCGAAGAGCCGTAGGCAATATAACTCTCGACGGGACATTCTCCCCATCCTTCCACCATTCATGATTTGCCTTGAGTAGAGCCGCGTTGGCCGTCGACCAGCGCCTCCGTGAGTTCTGCCGTGGGCTCAGCCTCCCAAATGGTGAGCACGTTGGTCGTGGAGCAAATAATGTGGGTGACTGCGTGCTTTGAACCCGTCGCGCGCTTCCACTATTGTGCCCCGCGGAGCTGAGGCTCCGCTTGGCAGACCGCCACCGAGGGTCGTTCGATTACTTTGCATCGAATGCCCTGGGCCCAGGCAGCGGGTGCGCCCTGCCAGGACAGCCCGCATTCAACTATGTTGGCGAGCGGCAAGTTGCTGAAGATGATGATGGTTGGTTCCTGATGACCGTGACGTTGAACTGAATGCGATGCCGTCGCAGCCAGAGGTGATATGGTCGAAGAAAGTAACGTCCACAATCCAGTCAACAGCCTGGCAATTTGTTGGTCCCTGGGTCGTTGTTCGAGTCCGCTTTCTCGGTCAGGGAACGTATCTGGCCCAGAAAAGAATCGCCATGAGAGGTGCCCACCGTCCAACTTTAAGGCCTCCGCTTCTTCTTCTTTTGTGAGAACTCTGGAGATGAAACTTGCACGGCCGCGATCACCCAAACCAGGTTGGCAAGAGCCCTCTGCATGTTTTCATCATATTCACGGTGATGCTGAGTGGCTGTCCCCCCCGAGACAGCTGCACCTTATTCCAACCGCGACCCCCGCCCAGAAGAGAACCCTCATTGTGCGCAACCAAATGATGCGAATCCGATTTCATGAAGCTCAGGCCTCTTTCGTCACAATTCTGGTAGGGGTCGACCCCGTCCCCGACCTGCGCTTTCCCTACCGCACACTTGCCCACCTGGTTCGCACCGGTCTGGACGGGCACAGACCCGTGGACCCGGAGGACCGCGTCGGACGAGTCCATGAGGGTGTGGGCGTCATCCACAGGGTACACTGGACAGCGTCTTCTCACGAGCAAATGGGAAGTCCGTATGGAAGCCAATGTGGCGAATGCCTGTAGATGCTGACCGGGAGGGGACTTGGGTCGGACGGTTTCTTGCAGCACCATTGGTGCGCGCCGGGTTTGCTCTCCTCCTCCTCCTTCCTCCTTCCTCCTCCTCCTCCTTCTCCTCTTCTGGCTTCTCCACTGATTGTCCTTATCGTTCTCATCGTCGCCCTCCTCGTCGTTGTCGTTGTTGTCGTCATCCCACTCTTCTTCCTGCTGCTCCTGCTCCTTGTCTGTCTCTTTCCCCTCCTCCCTCTCCTTCCTCCCCGCGGTTCTCCTTCTTCCTCCTCCTGCTCCTCCTGCTCGTCCTGCTCATCCTGCTCCTCCTGCCCTACCTCCTCCTCCTCCGCCTCCCTCCTCCTCCTTTTCCGCCTCCTCCTCGTCCTCCTGCTGCTACCTACGCCTGCTTCCCGCGCCTGGTCCTCCTCCTCCTCCTCCTCCTCCTCCTCCTCCCCCTCCCCCTCAAACTTCTCCCCGCGCATCCGAGCCCCGGCATGCCAGGGAGGTCCGCACCTGCCCCATCGCCCGCCTGCCCCTCGTGGGAGGGGCACCGGCAGCAGCTCGAGCACCACCGCCGCTAGCCCCGGCCGCGCCCGCCCCTTGGGGCCCTTCGGCGGCACGCCGAGAGCGGGAGCTGAGAGAGGGCAGGCGAGCTCAGGAGGAGGAGGAGGAGGAGGAGGGGGAGGAGGAGGAGGAGGAGGAGGAGGAGGAGGAGGAGGAGGAGGAGGAGGAGGAGGAGGAGGAGGGCCTTCGACGAGCCTTCTGAGATGGCCCGCCCTCTCTCTTTGCCTCTGTCCTGGGCCTGGCGACGAGCCCTGGGCCGCCGCGCAGGAAGCTCGGTCCACACACCAGCCCGAACTGCATACCTTGTCGATGACAGCGGGGGGGTTCCAGAACGTTCTCGACCGCATCTTGCCGATGGACTCCTTCACTCCGTGGCTACAGCCCCGAAGTGAGCTCGAAGCAGGGGTCGGGACGCACGGATTTCGCGCCGTGGCTCAGACCTCCCCGTCGGGGCGCGACATGGGCTGTCTACCGGCACCGATCCAGGCCAGCCCAATCCTGGGCCCAGGATCGGTGCATACGCCCTCCTGTCCTGGCCTGGCCAGGAAGGGGCATAGACCGATTGTGGGCTCAGGACAAGCCTGGTGTGTGGATGGTCAGCGTGCCCTGAGGGTAGTGGCGTGCCCAAATATTCGACGTCGTCTTGTTTTCGTGACGTGCCCCCCCGAAACTTTTCGACCCCTTCCCCGGGACCAATTTCGCATTCCCAGGCTGTTTCTTGACAGCCGTGGCCGCGGAAAACAGGAATCTGGAAGCCAAAAGCGTGGAAAGGCCAGCTGCACCCATCTCTTCTCGCCAGGCTCCAAAGCCCTGTCTTGGGGTGCGCTCTGCCAAGAATCTTGCGGCGGATCGAGCCGTGGCCACGGAGGCATCCAGAAACCCGAAAAGGCACACGGGCGTCCAGAATAACTCCGACGTCGGGTTCTTCCAAGACGAGGACGAAATCGTGGCCTCTTCCTTGGGGCCGGCATTCTTCTCGTGTGCCCTTGATGACTCCAGGGCCCGCCGAAACACCTCCGCCCCCGAGGCCGAAGCCGAGAGAGAAAACCGCAAGTACGGAAAACAGTCGGAGCCCGCTGGAGGTCTGGGGTCCCAACTCGGTCTCCCGACCCTTCTCGTGGGCACATGCTGATCCGACTTTCGAACGTCACCCCAGAGGCCCGAGAGACTATGACCAGCTGCCCCAAGCATCCGAGGCTTCACGCCAGTCCTCGACCGCATGTCTCGAGCCGGATCGCTCCGTGAGGGCCTCGGGGCCCGAAACGTGGTGAGAGGGGGAAACATGGAGCTTGAAGCGGCGACTCCTCGCCGATAGGCACCCGATAGCGAAAACCGCACGATCCTGCGCGGGTTGTGGTTATCCCGCCTCTATCGGCAATGAGTTCGCGATTGGGGGTCGATGCGACCCCCGTACGCGTAACTATGATGGGCCGATTTTCCACCACCGCTACAATAGGTAGGAGAGGCAGGAGGAGGAGGAGGAGGAGGAGGAGGAGGAGGAGAAGTGGGAGGAGAACGAGAAAGAGGAGGATAATGAGAAAGAGGAGGAGGAGGAGGAGGAGGAGGAGGAGGAGGCGGAGGAGGAGGAGGAGGAAAACCTCCCCATCCTCCCTTATCCCACATCCTATCTATGGCAATGGTGGTGGAAACTCGGCCCATCGAACTACCCCCCCGGGGCGCCGCCCCTGACGGTGCCCTCTCCCCCTGCCGCCCCCTGCCGCCCGCGGTCCCTGCCCTCGCCCAGACTCGCCGTCTGGGGCCGCGGCACAGGCCTCCCTCATCCCCTCCTGGCCTCAGGACAGAGGAGAGGAAGAGGAGGGTAGAGGAGGAAGGGGGAATGGAGGTGGTGGTGGTGGTGGTGGTGGTGGTGTATATTACTGGGGCCCGCAGGATAGGATCATGAGGCCTCGCGGTAAGGACGCCCGGGCATGGGACGCCCAGATTTGTGTCTGTGGAGCGGCGGCGGACGGGCCGAGGAGGCTCGGGAACGGCCGACGAGGTCAAGACGCAAGGGCACCCTTGGAAATAGACTTGTCCTGTGATGCGGTTTGACTGCAAATCGGGGGTGAGCAGAAACCCCTCAAGCAAAACCTCCTTCTGTGCACACGTGCACACGGCCCGGGACAAGACCTGGCGGGCGCCCGCCCGCAGAAACTGCGGTTGCAGCACCCTCTCGAATCGGCGAAGGGTGATAGACCTATCGACTTGGCAGGGGCTCCATCAAACAAGCTCCGATGTCGCACACCTCCGACGTCGTGATTCTCTCGCAGCGTCGAACCCCAAAGGTCTGGACCCTTGCCCCAGGACAAGTTTTTCATCCCGGGCAATCTTGCTGACGGCCTCCCAAGGCCCGGCGGGGGCCCCGGGAAGCCGAAAGCGGCCCACCCCCTCCCCGCCACACCACCGACGCCGTGATTCTCTCGCAGCGTCGAACCCCAAAGGTCTGGACTTTTGCCCCGGGACAAGTTTTCCATCCCGGGCAATCTTGCTGACGGCCTCCCGGGGCCTGGCCGGGGCCCCGGGAGGCCGAAAGCGGCCCACCCCCTCCCCGCCGTGCAGTTCCTCCCACGGCGAGAGAGAGGTGTGGACCCATGCTGATGGGCCTGTTTTCCACCACCGTCACTATAAGTTGGAGGGGGGAAAGGGGAGGAGGTTGAGGAGGAGGAGGAGGAGGAGGGGGACGAAGAGGAGGACGACGAAGAGGAGGAGGAGGAGGAGGAGGAGGAGGAGGAGGAGGACCCCCTCCCCCTCCAACTTATGGTGGTGGTGGTGGTGGTGGAAAACAGGCCCATCACATGCGCCCGTCGGCCAGAGCCACTGGGCCAAATCGGCAGAGTGCAGCCGGTGCTCCCCCCCTCTCCGACCTGGTAGGAGACGGACCACAGGCAGCCGAGCAGCAGGAAGAGCCCCGAGGCCGTCCCGCAGAGGAGGGCGGTGGAGGCCTGGGACTCTACCAAGTCGTCGCCGCCGCCGCTACGACCGCCGTCGCCGTCGTCGTCGCCGCCGTCGCCGCCGCCGTCGCCGCCGCCATCGTCGCCGCCGCCATCGTCGTCGTCGTCGACGTGTGCGCGCCTGGGCCATGCCTCGCCAGCCCGGCGCAGGCCGCTGGCGTGCTCGGGCCGAGAGAAGCGACCACCGGGAAGAGGTCCGAATGTAACATATGTTTGATATTTTTTCGCCCCTTTGGGGCCTCTTGAAGGCTTCTCGTCGCCACGGCCGCGTTATCCTCGTGATTCTGGCCCAAACGCACCCCCGGGTTCGGTCCAGGGATCGATTTTGAGGGGGAGGTCCGAACCTTTTGTTTGTGTTTGCTTATTTTCTTTTGTTCTGTGTGCGCGTGAGACTTCCGCCCGCGCTCCCCACGGCGGGTGCGTCTCCTCCGGGCATGGGCCTTAAGCGATCCTCCTGCACGCTGGCATTCGGGTTCTCATCTTGTCCTTCATCTCTCATGTACAATGCTGCGTGCAATGTTACATAATAGTTTGCGTCCCATGGTATTACTCGCGACAGTACCGTCACCTCGCTGGAGGAGGACAACATTATACAACATGTGTGCACTGGCTCTCTAGGGTCCATCTGTGTGGTAGCCTCACTTAGCCCACCTCCAACTCTTTGAGCGTTCGAGCGGCTTCCGCCCTGGCTGCGAGCGACCGAATAGTGTGTGTGTGTGCCCCCGTCTCCCACGCCCCACTCGGCTGCTGCTCGCGCTATCCTTGTTGGCTCCCCCTGAGGCCCCCAATCTGGCCCGGGATTCCGCACACTGACACTGCCTTGTTCCCGCTTCCTTATCGGCTGCCATTTTCCTTTCCTGCTGCGCCACGCTTGTTGCTTCGGCTCGTCACAATCGCATTGCTTCCTCCTTGTCCGTCCTGTTTCCCCCTCTTTCTCTCTTCTTTCCTCTGCCCGCGATCTCCTCGCGACTGCCCCCTCGTGAGTGTTGCTGTCGATCCCCGACGGGCGGATCCAGCTTCTTCACGCTGCGTGAGCTGGCCCGGTCCGCGCTCTTCTCGCTTGACCTGCCCTGCGCCGCGCTGCCGCGCGAGTGGCCGCAACGCCAAACGGTGCGTGCTTGCGTGTGTGTGTGTGTGCGTGTGTGTGCGTTTGTGCGAGTGAGAGAGTGTGTGTGTGTGTGCGTGTGTCTGTGTGTGTGTGTCTGTGTGCGTGTGTGTGTTTGTGTGTATGTGCGTGTGTATGTGCGTGTGTGTGTGTGTGTGTGTGTGTGTGTTTGCCGCTGCAGGCTTCGTTTGGACTGACAGTTCCTCGAACACACCCATCGCTTGCATTTTGCAGTGTGCGGCGCTTGTACGCTGTGCTATCGACAATGCTCGGTCGCGGTTAACACTTCCATCTGCTGTTCGCGCTTGAGGACCCTCTGCGCCACTGACTTACAAGCGCGCGCGTGTGTGTTTGTATGTGTGTGTGCATCTATGTGTGCGTGTGTGTGTGTGTGTGCGTGTGTGTGTGTGTGTGGGCATGTACTTTTCAACCTATGGAGGCCGCCTCTGGGCCGTGTGTCCGTCTCGAGGCGCCCAGTCATGAAAGCATCATATCCACGGGATGGGGTCGAGAGGTCCGAAGGCCAGCGGCTAGAGCAAATCGAGTCGTCGGAGGTCCGGGGAGGCTGAGGAGGAGAAAGACCACGGGGAGAAGGAGGACTAGCAGGCGCACAGGGATGTTTTTATCTAGGACGTGGGCTAGAGTCAAGCGATAGCTCCCTGGCAACAGCGGGTGCAATTGGCGAACGGGGACCGACGAGGCCCCGAAAGACGAAGTGAAGCGAGGGCCAGGGAAAAGGCCACGAGCGGATGGACCGACCGAGGAAGCCGAGGCCCGTAAACCACGCAGGAACACGGAAGCAGGCAGTGCAAATTCAAGCAGTGCAACCTGCCAGCAGGCAGCTGGTGAAGTCTCCTGGGGAGCACAGGGAGGAGGGGGAAAAGGAAGAGGGGGATGAAGGTGAAGGAGAAGGGCAGGGGGGAGTGGGAGGAGGACAGAGCTACGAGCGAGCTGCAGGTCCGCAGAGACGCATGCGCGAGGATTGACCTGAACCAAGGATCATGTAGACATTATGTGGCTGTGAGGTTACTGCGGGCGTCCGCGAGACAGGAGGAGGCCGAGGAGGAAAGGGAGGAGGAGCGGACGAAATGGACGAGTGGGAAAAAGTGGCATATGGAACCGTTCAATATGCAATAAGACTCGGTCTCTCTCTCTCTCTCTCTCTCTCTCTATATATATATATACACATATGAATATGCGCATGTTTTTTGTGTATGTGATGTTAGTTTGTTTTATTGTTTTTTTCTTATTTGCTCCTTCTCTCTCTATGTATATTTATATATCTGTATGTATAGTTTACTCACTCTCTCTCTCTCTCTCTGGCTTCTGAAGAACCCGTTCCAGCACCAGCGGCGTACACATGCGCTTGGGGCCCGCACTCGTGTGCAATTGCAGCTGCGCGTTCGCAGACGCGCGCTCATGCAACGGTGCCACCGTATCACGCTGGAGATGGCTACGGCCGTGCACACCACAGCCGTGCAGCGCCGCAACACTGCTATGCCGCCTCCACTCACCTGGTGGGGGATGTTCGGCATCGCAGCCCCGTGCAAGTCCAAAGGCTCCACCTCCTGCGCACGAGCAGTTGCCTTCATCCACTTGCCCTTCTCGGTGCTGATCGTTGTCCCTTTACGCCCCTGCCAGCGGTCTCAAGCCACTGAGCCTGCCAATCGTTCGTGCACTACGCGCGCCCCCTCGGCCCAGTACCGCTCCAATGGACCCATCCACCTCCCCCTCTGGGCTTCCATCGTTGCCCCCTTGCGCTCCAGATGGCCACCAGACGCACATGAGGTTTCTGCGAGATTCCCGGAGGAACCCACAGCTCCTCACCCTCCTCCTCTTCCTGCTCCTGCTCTTTGTGATCCTTCCTCCTCTCTCCTCACCTTTCCCTTCTCCTCCTCCTCCTCCTCCTCCTCCTCCTCCTCCTCCTCCTCCTCCTCCCCTCCTCCTCCCCCTCCCCGTCCTCCTCCTCCTCCTCCTCCTTCTCCTCCTCCTCAGCAGACATTTTCTTCTCATTCCCCTTCTACTCTTTTTCTTCTTCCTTCCCCTCCTCCTCCTCCTCGCCCTTCCCCTTCCCCCTCCTCCTCCCTCCTCCCTCTTCCTCCTCCTCCTCCTCCTCCTTCCTCCTCCCCCTCCCCCTCCTCCTCCTCCTCCTCCTCCTCCTCTTCCCCTCCTCCTCCTCCTCCTGCTCCTCCTCCTTCTCTTCCTCTGACCTTCTCCTCAGGACTTCGTTGTTCCCGCTCTGCCTTCTTTTTGCAGGCGGGCTCGAGGAACGGGTCACCACCAGTCGCCGCACGAGCACCTGCCGGCGCTGAACTCGTGCATCCGCACCTGGTCCAGTATCCGCAGCGTCCGCCCGTAGGCCGCCGATGCCAGCTTGAACGCGTTGTGGCAGTCGACGCAGCAGCGGATCGTCTTTCGGACGGTGATGCACGAGCCCTCGGGGTAGGCCTCCAGCGCCCAGGCCAGCGCCTCTGAAAGGGCCCAGGGACATCTGTTCGATACACATGTATGTATGTATGTATGTATGCATGCATACATGCATGCATGCATGCATGTTTATGTATGTATGTATGTATGGATGTATGCATGTATGTATGTATATATATACACATAGGAATACAATATTGCCTTGGCGCATCGCGCCATACACCTTGGTCTCTTAAGCCTTGCATCTATTGGCACTTGGCGCCATCCTCCTTGGCCTTTGAACTCTGGCCGTTTCCCGTCCAAGCCCCTCGCCCGTTCCTACTTGCTCTTGCCCTCGCTTTACAGATCCGTGCGCCACCCGACCTTTTCTTGGGGTGCGTTTTTATTCGAATTTCGAGGCGGACCCGATCACGTGGCACGAGAACGCCACCTGGAGGCTCCAGAAGAACGTCGAACCCAAAATCGCGTGCCATCTTCGCGCGATCCTGCGCCGGCTGGTGTCGTAACAGCCTGCGCGTCGATTTTGACACCGCTTGGATCGTTTAGCCGTGAACGATCGCGCACTCCCGTTCAACGCCTGCGGAGTCCTGACCACTGGCCGCGTTCGTTCCGAACGCCCGCGCCAGGGTCGCCGCCGCGTCGACACAACACAAACCGACCGCTGTGGAGGAGCAATTGTTTCCGGAGGGTCGTCTTTTTACCCTGGGATATGTTTTTTAGGCCCCCTGGGTTGCAGCGAGCGGCTCTTGCAGGCCGACGTCGAACCAAAACCTCCGAGGATTGCAGAAGCATGGCGGCTTCCAGAGGCTCCCAACGGCAGGCAAAAAACCAACAACACTCTGAGCCATCGCAGACCCCGAACAGTGGGGTGTGGAACTCTGGCGGTGAAAGTTCTGAGGGTAAACCTATGTGATGTGAGCTATGCTGTGGCAACAATGTGGTGTGAGCTACGTGGTGAAAGCTCTTTGGTGCAAGTTATGCGGTGGGAACTACATTGTGTAAACTATGTCATGCGGGCGATGTGGCATCTACAGGATGAAATTTACCTGGTGCAGGACAGGTGGTATGAACAAACTGTTGGGACTGGCGTTGTGGAAGACGCACGATCGTGCAAAAGAATGACGTTCGGGGTCCTTCGCGTGGCCACCACACGGGCTCGCTCGTGGCCCAAATCGCCAAGTCGGGCAATGCTTTAGGGCAATAGAAAGCAACGCCTCATCATTCCTCATCGTACTTCTCGTTCACCCACGCTCTCGCCTGGCATTGCGAACCGTTTCCCGTGCGCCGCAGGTCTTTTTGCGGAGGTTCCTCGTTGGCGAAACTCTTGGGGGCCTCAGGAATGCCTCTCCTGGGCTTTGGGGACCTCTGCCTGGGCGCCTCTTTAGGCCGTCTTGGAGGTCTTTTTGAAGCCCGTGAGCCGCCTGGGGTCCCTCTTGAGCCGTCCTGGGGCCTTCTTGGGGAACTTGGGCCCTCTTGGGGACCTCCCCCGGCCCTCGTGGGTCTCTCTTGGGAGCGTTAGGAGCCCTCATGAGCTTCTTTTGGGCCGTCTTGGGGCAATCTTGGGGTCCTCTTGGCCCGGCTGGAAGCCCTCTTGGGCCGCCTGGGGGCGATCTCGCAGTCTTCTGAGGCCGTCTTGAGCGCTGCTGCGACACAGAAAGCGAGTATTACGAGATGTACGTTTTCCGTAGGGAACGAGACGATTTTAGCCTCATGGGGGCTCTTCTGAAGGCCTCTTGAGGTCTTGAGGGCCTCTTGGGCCGTCTTGAGGCCGTCTTGCGCTCCCGTGCGGCTCTCCTCGGGAACTTGGGCCCTCTTGGGGACGTCCCCTGGCCCTCGTAGGTCTCTCTTGGGAGCCTCATGAGCTTCTTTGGGCCGTCTTGGAGCAATCTTGGGGTTCTCTTGGCCCGGCTTGAAGCCCTCTTGGAGGCCTCTTGGGCCGCCTTGGGGCGATCTTGCAGGCTTCTTAGGTCGCCTTGAACGCTGCCACGACACACAAATCGAATATGTTTGAAACGCACGTTTTCTTTAGGAGGACGGGGCGATTTTCAACTCATGGGGGCTGTCCTGAGGGCCTCTTGGGGCGTCTCTTCGGCCTCTTGGGCCGTCTTGGGGGCCTCTTGGGCCGTCTTGCGCTGCCGTGGGGCTCTCCTGCGCCTCTCCGACCACTTCTCTGATCACTTTGAGCTTGCTGGCACGGCCCATCAAGGCGCCCTGGGAGGAGGGGCAGAGCTGGGGGCCTCTTCCAAGGGCGTCCAGGGGACCCTGAAGCTCCAGATCAATTTTGTTTGTTTGTTTGTTTGTTTGTGTGTGTATGTGTGTGTGGTGTTTTTGTTATGCCCCCCTGGCTTGACACATAAGAAGAGGCGTTTTTGTTTTTATATATAATTTTATTTATATGTATAATATATATAATGTTTATTTATCTATACATATCGATGTTCAAGACCATGGTCCTTGCCTTTTGGTATGCATGCGGAATGGCAGGAAGGTCAAACAGACAATTTAATGATAACTCCATGTGGCCTTTTCTGGTACCGCCGTTCTCATAATGTTATTCGGTATTATTCCTCCATGTTTCTTTTTCTTCATTCTCGCCCTACCCTGCGAATTCTCCTCCATCCTCCTATGTTCTTTTTGCGGAGGCTCCTCCTTGGAGAGCCTCCGGGGGCCCCAACGGAAGTTTTTCAAGCTTTCTTAAAACCTTCTGGGGGCCTACTGTGCGTCGTCTGGGGGGCCTCTGGGGGCTTCCTCGGGCCACCCTGCCTCCAACCGCGGTCTCCCTGAACGAACGGGTCACGGTTTGGAATGCTTCGGAAGGTGTCGTGGGGCCATGTCGGGCCGTCATGGGGCTCTCTTAGGCCATCTTGTAACCCTGCTGTGCCATCTTGGGGCTCCCTCGGGCTACCTGGAAGCCCTTTCGGATGGTTTTGTTGCGAGTTTCGAGCCTCCCAGGCGGTCTCGGGCGCCCAGAAAAACAGAAGAACAGGGCACTCCCAAATCATGCAGAGAACCTTGGGAAATCAATGTTGTCTGCGTTTTGGTAGCCTCTTGGGGGTCTTCTATGGATCGTCTTCTGGCGTCTGGTGGGTGTCTGGGGCCTCTTGGGGCCCTCGGGAGGACATTCGGCCACCCTCCTGACCGCTTTGGGCCCGTTGCCTAGGCCAAGCAAGGGCTTCCAGAAGCACTGAAACGCTTACGCTTGGGGGGCCTCCTGCAGGGGCGTCCAGGGGGTCCCCGCATCCGGGGGGTCCAGAAGGTCCTGGGGGCTCGGGATTCGGGGGGTCCGATTTCGGGGGGGGTCCCGGGTATAGAAATGTAGACATGGGAATATATGCTAGAACCATCACGCTCGCTCAAGTTCTAGCTAGGCTGGATGGTCGAACTCTTGGGGACTTCAATTTGATGATACTTCTTCTCTGGGGCTTCTAAGAACCACGAAGACGTCCCAAGTGGCTTCCAAGACTTCCTATTGTGCACCCACGGCGGCATAAGACAGGTCAAAGCGGCACTTCGGGGGCCCTTTTATTCGCCGCGGCTGGACGTAGCCAGAAGAAGAGGGAGGAGGAGGGGATGTGAAGGGGTTCCCTGGGGGATAAGGAGGATGTTGAGGAGTTGGAGAGGGTGGATGAGGCCGCATAAGAGGAGGAGGAGGAGGAGGAGGAGGCGGAGGAGGATGAGGCGGAGGAGGCGGAGGAACAGGAGGAACAGGAGGAGGAGGAGGAGGACGAGGAGGAAGAGGAGGAGAAGGAGGAGGACATATGATGCTTCCATTTTTGAAAGCGTAGCGAAGCTGCCAGGCGAACTTTAGAAAAGAGAGGGCAATGTTGACATTTCCTTTTTCAAATGCCCTCGGGGCCTCTCGTGGAGTTGCTTTGGGCCTCTTTGGGACTTCTTGGGGTCCTCTTGAGGCCTCCTGGGGGCCTCCTGGGGCGAAGATCTCGGGTTCTCGGTTCACGTTCCCGATCCTGGGCCGCGGTTGGGGTCCTCTCGGGCCGTCTTGGACGTCTCTTCGGCCGTTTTGGAGCCGTCTTGGGGTGCTTTTGAAGCCTATTGGGCTGTCTTGGGGCGATCCTCGCGGCCTCTCGGGGCGTCTTGCCGCGTCGGGAAGCGTAGCAGGCGGAAGCGCCAAAATTGTTCAACAACCTATGGACAATTAATGTTTGTTTGTCTCTTCGAACTCTCTTGGGAGACCTCTTGGACTAGGTTCATCTTAAATCTGCCCAGGGCGTTTTTTTAGCGTTTTCAGCTCGGCTTCTTGGAAATCTGTTTTTGGTGCTTTCAGGTCTCAACGAAACAACTGAAAACGCAACAATAATGATGCATGGTTTTAGCGTTTCCAAACCAATTCTTAGCGTTTTCAGATCCGTGGACTGCGTGTTTCCTTCTCATTGCGTATCCCTGTCATCTTCTTCATACGAATCTGCTTTTCTCTGGCCGTCGCTGGTGACTCGTCGCGGAAACCCGCCCTCCCCTGCTGCCACCCCCCTTCCGGTGTTGGGCCGATGTTCGAGAGTTTTTGTGTTTCTGCTTATGTTTTTGCGTTTTTGGGCCTCCGCGCGGGAACCGGTTTTTGCCCCCCCCCCTTCCCCCCCCCCCCCTCCCCCCCACCCCCCTCCCCCCCCTCTCTCCTCTGTGTACGCAGCTAATGGATCCAGGCAGGCGCGTCGACCTGGGAGAGGGAAAGGGGGCCGAACGGACGAACGGCGGCAGGGCGGGGAGCGCGGGAGCCAAGCTGGCAGAGAAGACGAGGAGGAGCTTTCGACGATAATGCAAACGAGCGCAACAAAACGCTGTACCACAGCGACGAACCTGAAAACGCCCCAAATAACGGCCCAAAAATCGCTAAAACAACGTAGCGTTTTTGTTACCTAACAGCGAAGACTGATAGGTTTCTAGTTGACTCAAAAGAGCTCACAGATCACTCCACAGGGGGGTCCGGGCAGGCGTTGGGAGTTGCCGGCCGGGCCTGTGCCGGGCTCGTTTTTCACCAACAGTCACACACTTCGTGCTCGTCGACCTCTCAGAACCCCATCCCAGGCCACATTCTGAATAACCGGATGCAACAGTCATACACTTCGTGCTCTTCGACCTCCCAGAACTCCATTCCCGGGCCACATTCTGAATGCCGGAGCAACAGTCACACACTTCGTGCTCTTCGACTTCCCAGAACTCCATTCCCGGGCCACATTTTGGATGCCCGGAGCCAACTGTAGGCCACTTCGTGCTCTTCGAGTTCCCAGAACTCCATTCCCGGGCCACATTTTGGATGCCCGGAGCCAACTGTAGGCCACTTCGTGGTCTTCGAGTTCCCAGAACTCCATTCCTGGGCATGATTTTGAATGCCCGGAGCCAACTGTAGGCCACTTCGTGTTCTTCGAGTTCCCAGAACTCCATTCCCGGGCCACATTTTGAATGCTGAGGCAGGCTGATGCTGAGGCTGAGGCAGGCTGAGGCTGAGGCCTGAGGCCGAGGCTGAAGGCAGACTGAGGCTGAGGCTGAAGCAGGCTGAGGCTGAGGCTGAGGCAGGCTGAGGCTGAGGCTGAGGCAGGCTGATGCTGAGGCAGGCTGAGGCTGAGGCTGAGGCTGAGGCTGCAGCAGGCTGAGGCTGAGGCAGCCTGAGGCTGAGGCCGAGGCTGAAGGCAGACTGAGGCTGAGGCTGAAGCAGGCTGAGGCTGAGGCTGAGGCAGGCTGAGGCTGAGGCAGGCTGAGGCTGAGGCTGAGGCAGGCTGAGGCAGAGGCTGTGACTGTGACTGCCGTTGCCACTGCGACTGTCATCGCGAATGCGACTACGACTGCGAGAACAGCAGAATTCTACAACTGGATTCTCATCTGAATCTTAAGGGGAATGCTTCCAGATATGCTCCTACACATCGCTGTTAGGTTGCTTTGCCGGGATAACTGTTTTTTTTTGAAACAAAGCGTCTTCAGTCTGTCAAGAGCCCAAGCTAGAAAACGCTCTACAAAAACCCAGGGCGCTTTCAAAATGAACCAAGCTCTTGGAGACCTTTTGGGTGTCTTGGGGGCCTCTTGGGCCGTCTGGAGGCCGTCTTGGACCGTCCAGTCGCCTTCGGCCCGTCCCGCAACCGTGCCTAGGTTGTGGGTTAGAGGCCTCTTGGAAGTTCGTTCGGATGTCGTGGGAGGGCTCTCGGGGGCCTCTTGGAAGCAGTTTTGGAGCATTTGGGGGCCTCTTTTTGGGCCTCTTGGGGGTCTCGTGGGGCCTCTAGGGGGCCTCTTAGGCTCCCTTGGGGTCTCCAGGGGGCGTCTTGGGGCGGAAGGCTCGAATTGTCGGTTCGTGTTCCCCCTCTTGGGCCCCTCTTGGGGCCATCTTGGAGCCCTCTTGGGCGATCTTGGGCGCCTCTCAGGCCGCTTTGGGGCCCTCTTGGACTGTCTTGGGCTCTCTTGGGGGCCTCTTGGGCCGTCTTGGGGCGGTCTTGGGGGCCTCTGGGGCCACTGTGGAGCGTCGGAAACTCATAACGCGAGAACGCGACACACATAGAACAACTCACGGAACATCTATGATTTCTGCCTCATTGTGCCCTCTTGGGGTTCTTTTCGGAGCGCTCTTGGGGCTTCTTTGGGGCCTCTTGGGCCGTCTTGGGGCCATCTTGGAACGCTCTTGGGCTCTCTTGGAAGCCTCTTTGACCCTAGCGGGCGCTTTCTGGAGTCCTCTTGTCCCGTCTTGGGGCCCCTGGGCCTCTCCGGGCCGCCTCTGGGAAGCGAACCGGGAGGGTATCAACAAGTGTCCCCAGATGGTTGCGGACTGGGCGCCCCCACGGGGGTTGATATGATTTCGAATGATTGCTGTTATTGATACTGTTGTTATTTTAAGTATCATAAAGGTTATGTTTATGATTATGACTGATATTTTTTTCATCCACAAAGTCAATCACTCCCTTCGTGGTGTGTGATGCTGTACAACTCCGGACCTGCGAGCCGTGGCCCCTGACCCAGGCCGGAGTAGAAGTGGATGAAAACGGCGTGGCGTTGCCGCTCCTGGCCGCTTTCGCGGTGCCATGCGCGTCGGAAACACGACGGGCCAGGACGCCCTGTAACGAGGAGGAGGAGGAAGAGGAGGAGGAGGAGGAGGAGGAGGAGGCGGAACGAGGAGGAGGAGGAGGAGGAGGAGGAGGAGGAGGAGGAGGTGGGGAAGCAATCCAAAACACCTGGCGCGGCGCAGGCCAACCTGCCGTAGGCGAGCCGTTGCGCGCAGCCATGGAATCGAGACTACTATTTATTCTTATTATTATCATCAATATTAATTTTATGATTCTGAAAATGATTATGGGTATGCTTATGATGATGCTGTTGTTGTTGGTGATTATGATGATGATGTTGATGGTGATGATGGTGATGATTATGATGCTGATGATGATGATTCCAATCATCATTACTATTATTTTTGTATGATTAACACTATTGTTAGTATTATTGTTGTTGGTATGCTTGCTATATCAAAAATCAAGAGGACTCTATATTTTACATATTTTCTGGATGTTCGTCTTCTCCTCCACTTCCAATATTTTCCATACTTTCCTGGAAATAGACGATTATTTGTGTCTGTGTTTTTCTCTTCCGAGCCTTTTTCTCCGTGTGGTACTGCAGCCTGTCGGCCCGCTCCTCTGGAGAGATCTGGGGGTCGTACTGCCACAGCTGGGGCTGGCGGCGCGCAGAAGGGAGTGGCGCGAGGGAGGCGATCTTCTGAGGAGGCAGGGGGCTTCTCAGAAGGCTTGAGGCTTCGTAGAAGGGCGCGGAGGCCCCTAAGAAGGCTTCTTGGAAGCTTCCATGCCTTCCCGAGACGGCCGCTACCTTTCGAGAAGCTCCCTCGGGTTCTGAGACGGCCGCCCTCCTCTTGCCACCGCTCTTGTGCGTGCCGCCAATGGGGGTCGTACCCGGCGCCCTTCAGCGTGGCGATCATGCGCTTCACGGACCTGGCCAACTCCTTCTCGCACTTACTCCCGGGCTCGAACTCCCTCTTCTCCCCGGTTGTGGGGTCGTCCACGGTGCTAGTGGGAACGTGGGTCACGACTCCGTCAAGCCGCTGCCATTCGTCTACCTTCGAAGAACGAAAACTGGCATAAGCATGAACTTTCGGAATTCCGCGCGGCGATTTCTCGGATCGGCTCTGGACCGCGCGCGGAGCGTGCCAGGGGCGGCGCCAGAGGCGCCGCCAGCTGGGTCCAGCACATATCCACGAAATCCGCGAGAAGCTCAGAAAATTTGTGCTTATGCCAATTTTTCTTCCTCGCCTACCTGCTTCGCGCCCTCGTCGTCTCCGGCCAACGCGCAAGTCTGCCGGGCGAGCGTGTAGCACGCGGACTTCACAGGGCCGCGTTTGCGCGCCCTGTCAAGGACGTGTAAGGCGCACTGCCGGTCCAGTACGCAGCGGCACCCAGACAGGATGCTGCAGTATCCCTCGATCGGCAGCGCGGTGCCCTTGCTGACTCTGTTAAAATACTTGACCGCCTTTGGGAGATTGCCGCCCTTGCTGTACGCCGCGATGATGGCGCAATGGGTGTGCTCATTCGGCTCGACCCCGTCCGACCGCATCTGGCTGATGACAACCTCAGCGCCACCTACGTCTCCAGCCCGGGCGCACTGTGAGATGGCGGCTGTGTACAGGAAGACGTCTGGCGCCACCTTGTACACTCCACGGGCGCTCTGCAGGAGGAGCACCACCGAGCCGGTGTCATTCGCGTAGCCCAGAGCGGTGACTACCTGCACGAGGAACTGGCAGTCCAGCTCCAACTCGAATCTCCTCGCCAGCTTCAGTATCTCCCACGTTCTGCCCGTCGGTACACCTGCCCGCTGGTAACAGCCCACCATGCTCGTCAGCAGTTCGACACTCGGCACGGTAGCCTGCCACTCGAGCTCGGCGAGCAGCTCGTCCACGACGGCGGGCTCCGAACACCCCTGCAACATGGCGCCCATCAACTTCTGATCCGCAACGATACCGTGCCGGTGCATGTCGTTCCACAGCGCCCAGAGGGTGGTTTGAGGCCCGCCGCCCCGAACCACCGAGTCGAACAGAGCCGTGTACGTGTATCGGTTCGGCGTGAGGTGCTCCGGCAGCTGACTGAACAGCTCCAGCGCCGCTTGCCACCTTCCCACGCGCCCCGCAGCCTTG